CCTTTGATGTTGTGCTCAACTTTTGAAGTTCGCTTGCAGACTCACCACTGTGTAAACGAGCGTTCCTAGCATTGAGGCATTTTCTTCCGAAGGAACATTTTAGTGAAGAAATATTTAGTTATTGTTGTTCATCTGTTCTAATTAATACCTAATTTTGTGTCAGAATTTAAATGGTTTGAAAAGTAGTACCAAAATCATGGCAGCTTTCCATATTGTTTCTATACTATAAAGGATTTTTGTATTATATTAACAATTTTCTTATGTTAGTAATCAGCATTCCATGCTTACCAATAAGTATGATGGCGAATATCCGAAAAATTCCACATTCTATATGCGAGTAGTTCTATAAAGGTTATTTTTTATATCGTTCTATAATGCTCTTTCTTACCAAAAATACATTCGCCACGTGTGCAGCTAACAGGGCGTACACGCCCCCAGAAGCGCCTACTAAATATACCTCTGCATCGAAAACGCTTGTGCCGAGAGATCCTGAAAATATTCATTCAGTAGTTATGGTTTACTGAGACCAGTTATACTGGTATTCCAATCTCGTTATTTCTAAAATATATTAAATTTGTTTTCACTTATTTTACATGGAAGCACTGACCATGAATGGGAAAAAAACCTTTCAATTAGTAGTTTTGTCCTTGTTGTACGGCAGACTTGTCTAGATCCTTAATGCATGGCAAATTTGATTATTTTGGGTGATTTTCATATCATAGTTGATTTCTCTGCGGAACAATGACTGAACACGCTGGCTATTAATCCAGATGCAATAACGGAGTCTAGAACATATATTCTTAATTATCACTTGCATGGCGAAGTAAAGAGTGCATTCCATAGCCACTATGACATTGCAAAATTAAGACTCGGATAACAAGTTAGGCACAACTAATTTTAGCATAGCTCCATTTGTCTCTGATGCGAGTGTGTTTAGTAAAGCGCAAGGGCTTAATCCGTAAATATTGGATCAAGAAATGGAGGTTGACAATATTAGAGGAATCAGTTAAACATTAACAATATATTCTAGTCAGTGAGCTTCTTTGAAAACCGAAACAGTAGATTTCTACCAAGAGACTCTCATTCAACGTGAAAGAATAAATTAGAAGCATATCTGCTTTGGGAAGGAAATTATTTTCTTTATTGGTCCATAACTTATCAGTTAAAATTCAAGGTATTGAAAAGTTGATACTATCGGGCATCGCAATGTGGAAGCATTCTGTCTGTGCAAACGGCTCAAGGCAATGATCTCAGTACACGGCAATTGAGTTGTGCAATTGGTGGCTATGTTTCCCGATCCTGTTAATTCTTTTTAACATGGACATGGCATTGAGCGTAAGAGATAAGCTCAAGCTTTGCTGCTTGTAGATGACCTTGTATTCGCATCCTTAGAAGCTGGTTTCTAGGGTATATTCGTAATAATCGCAGGTGAGTACGGTGTGGCTGGCATGATTATAAATATCAACAGTCTGAATCGTTACCCACTGCTCGCTTCCCTGAGCCATGTGTCCTGCAAAATGGCGGAACATGGTTAATGTATGAGGAAGACTACCGGTACACGGTACTCCGTCACTCATATTAAAGAAAGAAAGGAAGATAAGATTTGCAACCAAGGTTTTCCTTGAACTCTTCTTAACAGTCAGTCAGTGACCAAAGTCATGGCAGTTTGTCAGTCTGCAAAAATTGACGTTCGTTTTTCGGCTGTAAAGTGGTCATTCGTGACAGATGATAATCGATGAAGAGACATCGCTGCAACAAAAAATCGGAAGTTCTAAGAACATCAACGGACTTAAGCATTTCGGCAGAGTTCATATACCACGACCCGAGAATTTATTGGAATCGACCCACAACTTCTCGTGACCAGGAAGTGGCAACTGCGATGGTTTTGGAATGCCCTGTGTCCCCACTGTAGGAGATGAAGCCTACAGATGCTTCTTTCTTGTCCATCAGTCAGAGGACCACAATGAGGGAGTTGAACAAACACCAATGAATTTCGCTCTCCTGATTTTCAGGATGCCTTCTGTGAACACTCTGAAACTGCCGCAAAAGCATGAACATCCATAGTACTTTCTGTCGCTGCAACTGTTGCCACTCGGAAGGACAAATAATATCTGAAACTGTTTAATGCTTGATTAAATTTGTGATGTATAGGCAAAGAAATTAGCATTTCTGAAATGGATTAAGCGCATTTACTAAGTTTTAAATGTAGGTGAGGAAGCAGGCACGTTATTGATTTCACCCTGAAATGATATGCGTTGACACTGTGTTCGTACGTAATATGCATGTCGATACTGTAAATGTAATCTTGAAACAAAATCTGGTTACCTGCTAAAACACCAGCCATGTATATGATCGCAATTCTGGCACTCCCGTGTACCATTTCGAGCGGAAGTCCAACGACCAGCTGCACAGTAAGATTAAACAGCAAATGAAGCCATCTAAAGCAATTCGGGTGACAATGGAAAGTCAAATAATTTTTATGCATGAAGTGTGTGGCTGACTTTTCATTTGAACTGTGTACAGCAACTACCGAGGTTTCAACAGTGCATTAAATAATTGTGAATGATTCCTTTTTTACTTTGATCAACCTCCTTGTAGCTAAATATTGTATTTTTCATCATATAGCAAAACTCGATATGCACTGCGCAATGGAATCATCTTCTGAAAATGGTGTCCCTTGTTCAACATGGAAGGGGATGGGGTCTAAGGCTTTCACGTAAAGGCCTATTTTGCCAACTACGCGTCGCTGAGGTGTCTTGTCTTTTCTGTGACCTTTGATGAAGACTGCGATGCAAATTTACGCGTTCTCTCGAAAGTCGGTCATCAACCCGCAGTTTTAGATTGTTCATTGTCCTCATAATGGTTCCTCAAGTCTCGTCATGTCGATTACGATTTTCCTTTATTCTGGAAAGTCATAAATTTCGAGGGCACATTCTTTGATTGTCAATTTCTAACCGCAAATTTAGCAGTTTCCCGTTCCTTTCATCATGCTATCATCACCGTCCGTACTAATTCAGGTACTTCGCGTTATAACATTTTTTGGCACCAAATTTTATTATGTGAGCTTTCGGCACCAAATCATTTAACCAAGGGTTCCTGTTTCCAAAGCGCTAACACTTTTGGCTCTATAAAATTAATTTTACGTAGCTTAATGTTATCAGTTACAGTTTGCCCTCATTTCTTTACGGATGACCTTCCCTAGAAATTCAGTGGCATTTAGAATGAATCTCTCAAAAAGCTTTAAAGTATATCGCGACACGCAGAGCGGTGCAGTATCCAGGAAAAAGCATGATGGAAGAATCTTAAATTTCTCTGCCAAGTCCAGATGAGAAAAATAGAGGGTTGGGGACGGTGGCGAGGTAGGCCGCCTGTCCGTCATGACATTGCCGTTATTGAAGGTTATTCCAGCTCAGGGTTGTCCGGGTTACTAAGGCCACGTACGCTGGTGAGAAAATTAAACACTCTGCGAAAAGTCGGCTTTCACGACCTGCAATACGCTGGAGACATAGAGCACAGCTACAGCTGCCGAAAATCGACAAGAGTACAAATGCAAGTCAACAACGGAGCCGCCATCCATATTGAAAGGTGCCACTGCCATTGTCGGGTAAGGTTCCACGAGAACGATTGTGACAGGGTGACTAACACTTAGAATTAGAAAATCTCTCAACTCAGAGGAGAAGAGCAGGAGCTATTTGATCATGTAAAAATGGACTAATCGGATGTAGTCGAACTCTTGTCAACAAAGCGCCAGGGCTGTGGAGTTTTGAAGCTCTGCGGATGGAAGCTATTCCATTCAGATGTCGATATCAGAGACTCACTTAGACCGGTGTTGGTGTTCTGATAGAATCCAACCTCGCAGATAGAATTATCGCTTGGAAGCCTATCAACGGAAGGGTGATAATCCTCCAACTGAAGCTACAACAGGCTAAATCGATGACCTTGGTACAGGTCTATGCGCCCAATTTGGAGGGAGAATATGAGACTTTTCTTGAGGAAGTGTAGTGTGCTTTGTCCCAAGTGATAGAGTCCCTCATAC